TTCTCAGAGCGGGCTGAGCCGACTCAAGGGACAACAAAGCAATCACGAAGGAATAGAAGAGCTTATCTGGTTCAATGAGTAAGCGAACCGAGGTGGTGACAGTCCAAGTACGACCGTCGAGAGATAAGTACCTCTGTGTCAGTCACTCCCAGACCTGGGCCTCTGCTGCAGACCCCAATCCTGAGCTCCCCTGGGGATGCCCACTGTGTGACGACCAGCCTCACAAGGCACCTCCAGGTCACCTCCACACTCAATAGACTAAAAATGTAACTTCATCTTCTTCTCTCTCCTCTCCCACCCCCAAACTTCCCTCCTCCAGCGACCAGCACCCCTGCTCTCTCAGTGCCTCTGACGCCAACACCCTTGCTCCTGTGTGACATCAGCCACCATGCCTGTCACTTTACTCTTCTCCCTGCCTTGCGAAGATGCTTCTGCTTGACCCTGTCAGTGCCAAGTGCCTCTTCGTCGGGATAGTTCACAGTCTCCCAATATCTTTAGGTCCCGTTTACGCATTCTATATGTCACTGCCTCAATTATCTTTAGAAAATCCGCATGTCGTCACATGGCTGCCCCGCGTAAAACCTGTCTGGGTGAAGTCTTCAGCCCAGTTTCCACATTCTCCACGGTCCCATCTTTTTCCTCCCAGAATCCCACCACCATCCATTGCTTCACATTTTCCGGGGCCTGCATGTCTGGCCCAGAAGGCTCACTTCTCTCTGAGTGCCCCTCCACCTCCCTCTCCTTCCACAAGTGTTTCTTAATTGTCTGTTAAGAAAAAAAAGCACCTATGCCAGTGCCCAGGCCCACTCATTCCCAGCCTGCAGCTCGGCAAACAAGCTAGTCTCGATTCCTGCCCTCAGATCATTTAAATTACACTTGGGAACCTCCATGTGAAAATACAGAGACTTTATATTCTAGAGATACTGGCTGAATATTCTCCTGCAAAGTTTAATATACTTTGAAGGTCTTAACATTTAAAATTTTTATTTTTAAACCTGAAACTAGAGCATCAAAACTTTAAAACATCAGCTTTTAAAATTAATTATTTTAAAATTAGAGTTCTCTGTTGCAAATACAAAGGAAAAAAACGCATCGAATGCGAATCATGAAGGATTCTAATTGCAGAGACGCGGTAGGGGAAAAACAAACCTGATATTATCCTCCACAAAGAACAAGAGGGCCCGGTTTCAATTATGTGGTGTATTCAGGTTCAACGGCGGCATCTCTATCTTGTTTCTGGTGGGCAATCCACTCCCGCAGCTCAGAAACTTTAACTGAGCCTCCCTCTAACTTCCCGAGGCCTGCTGTAAGAGGGTCTGTTTCTCTGAGACTGGAAAGCAGATTTTCTTGAAGAACATTCAAAATCGGGATGTCTGGGTTTCTGTAAATCTCATTAGCATCTAATACAAAATCTGGCATGTAATCGCTAACCA